TTGCACTGCACACATCATCATTCAACAAAGAAAATTTGCACTGCACACATCATCACAAATAAAATTGAGAACGGTGAGAAGAAAAGACATTACAATTGTTTATTTTTGGGCTGAGAAATTGCTGCAGATGGATGGTGTAGAAGAGAAGAGAATCGAGTTGTCTAACTGCGTTTGATTAGGTTTTGGTGAAATATATATATATATATATATATATATATATATATATATATATATATATATATATATATATATATATATACTAGGGTTTAATAATAAAATTGAAGGGATTAAACACCATAAATACGAAAAAATTGGAAAATTGGAGCGACATTGAAAGGTATGTTTTTACCTGGTAAAAAACTAGGGTACAAGAGCCGAAAGGGGAAGATGAAGTATTCACTATTTATACCTATTAATTTCGTAATTGTGCTATATTGGAAGGATATTTTGGATATTTCGCATAGGTTGCAGTATGGGATTGAGTATGTGATAATTAGTCAAGCCAATTTTGGCTTGACTAATAATAATTCGATTGAGGGATTAAATCAGTGGGCCCAACTGTCAAGGATGGTAAAATCAACCAAACCAAACGTTGTATAAATCGATACATCCCATCCCTTGTAATACTCCCAACCAAAGATGCCCTATGAGGTTTATTGAAGTAGAATGACGTACGCGGAAAGCCGAATTACAATTTCCGAGTGTTCTATTGTTGGACTTGGGCCAAAAGAACAATTGGGCCTACCTAGGTAATCTTATTTATAAATAATTCTTTACATGAAAATTATGTTACATGAATGGGATAAATCTTGATTAATACGTGATATCATGAGAATATAAATTAGAATATTTCTCATGGTACGATATTCATCACATCACGGAGGAGATATCGTACCAAGACGAAACTCAAAAACATCATGATTTTTAAGGTGATTTACTCGACTCGAAAACGATATGAACTCTTTGATGTACCGAGTTCTTGGTAAAATTCATTATGACTTTATCGAATGAACACTTCTAATTTCGTTAACAGGGAGAGATAAAAAAAAACAAAGGATTTTTTTTTTTTTTTACTATACCTCGTAATACAACTTGAGCAATAGTTCAACTTACTTAATTGTTTTAAATTAAAATTTTGGCAACATATGATTATTTTGATAAGATTTTTTTTATATTAATCAAATAAAGGTTTTTCCCATGATCATAGGTATAATTTTTTGAAACCGGCGAGCTAGGTGGCCTGACAAAATGAGGGGTGGTGGCCGGGGAATTCTTGGTAGTCCCGGTGGCCTCACAAAACGAGGGGTGGTGGCCGCCGGCCGGGGAATTCCTGGTAGTCCCGGTGGCCTCACAACTCTAGCCGGTGGAGGTGGGGGCCACGTCCGCCAATATCTCATTGGATGCATTATTTCTCAGATGCATACCATCCATCACTCTCCAATTTATTGATTTATATCATTTTTAGGGATGCTGGTCTGTATTTTATGTTAAACCCATCGACCCGACCCGTTGAACCCAGACCAGCCAATATAGGCCCTAAATTTGCGACAAAATTGTGTTGTTAGAGTTCGAAACCAGGTCCATGGGTGAATGTAACATGCCCTAACCGTTGGGCGGAAACAAATCAATTAATTAATTCGACAACCAAACTATTTAAAAACCAAAAGATTAGTTGCGAATCAATTTATCAAAAATTCAAATTGTAAATTGTGATGAATCGTAAAATGTAAGATTGTTAGTTGTTTCCAAAATTATATAGCTAACATGTACTTTAAAATAATCGAATAATACTCCAATTAGCTCAATAATAAACTATTAACTGAACCTCGATAAATTAATGCAGTTGGGATTAGAGAAATTCTATTAATTTTGCGAATTATTAAATTACCGAGTTAATAATTTAACATGTTTTCACCGAATCGGAACCGGGAGAAACTATTATTTAATCGAAGTTATTAATTTATGGAGGTTTTACTGTATATATTATTGAGAGGAATGTTTTTTTCCTTTTTACTAACATTTAATTTATTAATATAGTGTAAATGATCCATGTAAATTTAATATGATTGTCGTTTTGCAAATTGCTTTCGAAGTTTTGGGATTTTTAAATTTTTTGAATTGGACCTAAGCTAATTGTGCATTTTCCCACTAAAATTGAACTTTTTAAATTAAAAAAAAAAACAACAAAGAAAAAAAGATAATAGGCGGGAGCTGGAAAACCGACCCGATTCACGAATGGGGACCCAAGATCTGGTAGATCGATCGGACCCGAGACCTAGCATGTTGGGACCCGCGGACGTGTCTAATACCATGCATGCCGGCATTGACGCGATGTGGCGCCAAAAACTATGGTTATTGAGATGTTATACCATCGACCATCGGGTGATTTTGAACCATGAATGTGGTCAAATAATCATTCACAAAGAACACAAATACATATATAAGTGTGTGTGATTATATTCAAATTAACAGTTAATAATCACCCTGTGTTTCCGATGGTGCAGCATCAAATAAACCCAAATAATACTTGTCAAGTTGCCACGTTTAATTTGTGTCACTAACAAAAATTAATTTAATCAACCAATCACTTGAAAATAAGTTATTTTAATTAATTCGAAGCATAGTCAAAAGGTTTTAAAAATAAAATACAAGTTGCATGTGAATATAATAGTGACGGCAAATTGAAGAAAGTGGCTCTCATTTTCGGTTCCCCCAATTGTTACACACACTTGAGAATTTTGGAAGCACCAAAATATGCCTTTTGATTAATTAAATATTATATTATAGATCATGCAATTTTCTTTTTTCCCGCACTACCTTCAATTTTCCTTTTCACTCAAATCTTTTTGTTTGGTTTGGTTCACCCCCATATGCAGGAGTAGATGATTCCATCACCCATACTACATTTTGTGTGCCAACATCATGTAATTTTTATTATATACATGTAGTTATTTATAAACTTTAAAATATGATATTTTTCATTATTCATATATACAATATAAAAAGAAATTAATTTGGTCCGACCGATCGATTGCGAGACAATCGGTCCAATATTTGAGATATCGAATATTGGTTTATTGTTCTGAGTACCTCTTTGTTGGTCAAAGGGTCAGAAAATATTTACCGTTATGTTTACTATTCCATCTGTTCTATAATAACTGTCTAAGTTCTATAATAACTGTCTTTTTAGAAGAAGAAAAAAATTATTTCATATTACTAGTCAGTTAAATGGATGATTTCATGTTTTAACATTATTAATCCAACTCTAAGTATTAGCTCTCTTATATCATATCAGTAAATGATCAAAGTTACTTGAGTACTTTTAATGTGTTTGTCCTAAAATCGAGACAAAGTTATTGATATTCTTAATTTTTTTGCAAAACTGAAAAGCGATAGTTAATTAGGAACAAATGAAGTAGTGAAAATCTAGTACCAATTGCAGTCAAATTAGAAAGATCAATTGAAGCAAACTTTGTACCTCTAGCACGGATTCTGAGATCCTATACCTAGTGAATTTTAACATGTGTTACATGACCTTAGCTCTATAAATAATCACATACATAAACATGTACATATGTTTAAAAATAAATGGCCATAATACACGTGTACAGTGAGATTATACATGATATATCTCACCAGATGTAAGTTAAAATAAGCCTCCGTACTGGATCTGACTTTTTTATGCATTTTTTTAAATAGAAATGACAAGTAATCATTTTGAGTGAGTTGTAAAACTCTCTATACTTTTACAAATTGCTAAACACTACAAATGTTATTTTATTTTGAACAAATCAACAAATTATGAAAATTATTAATAAAATATTAAAGAAACTTAAAACCAAAAGATAATATAAAAATTATTAAAAAGTAAATGAATGTAAAAATCTAAAAAAATACTTGTAACTTTGTATGTACAAACTTGTACACTTATCCTACCTCAAAACAATTATAACAACCGAATAAATATAATAATTTTTTTATAAGAGAAAAAAAATACACAATAGTTATAGAATTGAAACTAATAGGAGATATATATAAATTTATATAAATTTTAAAATTACAAAAACTTTTCGGTGATTCAAAAAGAAATTCCATTTCAAAATTTTAGAAAATTAAATTTGTGAATGTAATAAGATGCTAGGAAATTTGCCATAAAATTTTAAACAATAAAAAAAAACACATGATAGGGTTTTGCAATTACACCATTGATCCTTAATTGTAAGTATATTCACATAATGGCTTCAATCTTCACACATAAGTTTTCATGTATAGTTACATTGTATGACTTGATCATTATCCAATTAAAAAGAAGAAGAAAAAAAAGAAAAAAGAAAAAAAAAAATAAAAGAAAAGTAGATGTGCTCTAAACATGGAATAATACAGTCATGGCAAAAAGAGAGCCTAATTTTATGCTCATTGATTGCTTCTAAAGCATCTTATCTTTGTAATTGAAAGTCTATATTGGAGAACAAAGAAATATAGCATTTAATTTATTTTTGTGTATTAGTAGTGGGATTCTCATTCACCACACCACTAAACAATTCAATTACACTCCCTTCAATTTTTCCCTTTTCAATAATTTTGAATTATCAACTATGTTCGATGCTACACCTGATAAATTTTATTAGATAAGATCTAATCGTACACGCGTATTGATAACTTTAACTGCACATTCTGCACACATTCACATGTACAGTAGAACCTCATTTAAATAATATGTTTTTCCGGTCCCGACTCGAAGGAACGTGCTAAAAACTATTTTGTTAAATTAATATTTCGCTAAATTAATTGAATTTATAGCTGGTAAGGACTGTATTAATCTATAGAGGTTTAAGTGTATATATATGTAAATCGATTGTATCAAATCATCCAATATATTTCATAACGTGTAGCATCTACGAAACTCAATTTTCCCCCATATATATATATATATATATATATATATATATATATATATATATATATATATATATATATATATATATATTGCTTTTTTATAAAGCACCTTCTTTTTTTCCCATCTCTTGCCTTTTTAATGAATGCTTTGTAGGTCCTTAACACTAAGACATTAGCATTGTTGGATAATTATTGATTCTAGTAATTGGCCTTTTGTCTTAAGCTCCTTGTATTTATTAATGTCTTATTCTATTCTTCAATAAATTTTGGTAAACAAGGTCAGCTTTCTTTCTATTTTCTATGTATTCAAGAATTTAAGCATGTTTTATTTTCTTCTTTAATTTTTTTTATATTCTTTAAGTAACAACTCTACTAAGAGTATGAAGGGTTTTGCATGCTTGTGTGATACTTTTAGCAGATAATTTCATTTGCGTATGTATTAAAGCTGCGGGTTTTCCGGATTTTGGGTGCACTTATGTTCCTTCGATCGTTTTTTTTTTCTTTTTTTTCTCGTATGTTGTAAGTTGCACTTGTCATACTGAGTAATGGTTCTTGTTATAGTATTGCAAGCTGCTCTTGTCTTCTTGTTTCTTGTTTGTCAAAAAAAAAGGTCGTATTATAGTCATGATCGTCTTTAACACTCGTTGGTTCGTATTATTGTCGTGAGATTAACATGAAAATCGCTCGTTCGAACATCGGGGATATATATATTTTTTTTCCCTGAAGAATTCAATCGTTTATTCGAATGAGTGCTGAAATTGTTACGAATTTGGTTGTTGATTCTCTATCGATTTTTCTTGCTACATTTTGCACTTCACATCAATTTTTTATTTTTTTCTTCTCGTGTTTAAGGTTTGAATACTCACAATCACCTGAAAGAATTCAATCGGTATTTGCTTAGGAAAACAGAGGAAATAACATGGCTAAAGCCGATTCTGCCACTCGTCTCTCTCTCAATTCATCGATCGACTTTCTTCTTCTTCTTCGTCTTCTCGTGTTACTACTGCCTCTCATTTGTGGTGCCTCAAATCAACCTAATATTGAAGGTTTCGTATTAATTTTTTTTTTATTATTTAATGAATCATACATACGATAGGATTTTAGATAAGAGAAATTGGTCGAATTTCTCTTGATGTTTTTTTTTAAATTTTCAGGTGAGGCTTTAATCGAGTTTCTAACAGCTCTGAAAGACTCGAACGAAAAAATAAAGGATTGGGATAGTCATTTTGTGAGCCCTTGTTTCAGTTGGTCTCATGTTACTTGTATTAATGGAAGTGTTGTTTCACTGTTAGTATCCTCTTTCCATTACATTCTCTAAGCTTCTTTTTTTTTGGGTAAATTACAAAAAATCCCTGAAGTTAGACTAAATTACGAAAACCACCTCCACCTATCTGTAATTACCAAAACCCCCCAAACGTTTGTTTCCGTCTTTCACTGTCCCCCTTACAGTGTGATTTTTAACGTGATCGTTTTGTTTTTAGAAAATATTCCCCAAAAAATGCCGATTCTACCCCTAAGAGCCTCTTAAGTTTAAGTGGCCTTGTTATATCCTCTACAATAACTTCTTTTCTTCGAAGTCAGACTTCTTCGATTGCTATAAATGAAGCATCATAGCATATATATATGCAATTTTTTAAACAATGTGCATGGCTACCTTCATTATGTCGACGTCTGCAGTTTTATATCGGCATTTTTGGGGGAATATTTTCTAGAATCAAACAGATTACGTAAACAATCATACCGTAAGGGGGTCGGTGTAAGACGGAAATTTTGGTAATTAGGATAGGTAGGGGTGTGTTCTGTAATTTATCCTAAGTCCAGGTGGATTTTCGTAATTTACCCTAAAACGAAAAAAAATGAAAACTAATACTCTATAGTTAATTCTCCAGTTCTCATGAATCAAGTACATATACTTTCTGATTATTTAGTTTATCGATGCTTCGACTTCTGCAGAAGCTTTCCGTCCATCGGATTTACGGGCACACTCTCACCATCGATTACCAGATTGAAGTTTCTCGTTAGCTTGTATGTGATGCGAAGCGAGACGTTTAATTTTAATTTTAATTTTAATTTTATGTATTAGTCTTTTCGAAAAAAAAAAATAATGTTTGTCGAAATTTGTACAAGATTACTATTTTCGAAAGGTGACGAGATTCTTTCGTGCATTCAGGGATTTACAGCATAACAGTCTATCGGGCGGCCTACCCGATTCTCTAAGCAGCATGTCGAATCTGCAGAATTTGAATTTGGCGCACAATAATTTCAACGGCTCTATTCCATCTTCGTGGGGTCGACTTTCCAACCTTAAACATTTGTAAGTCCAAAAAACAAAATATATTCATTCTTACAACTATCGAACAGGTTGCATGAAATTCGTAATTCGTATTTACGTTCGACGTATATATTTATATACTTAAGTGACGAATATCTGCATTAGGGTTGTGAGAGGAAACCACTTAAGCGGATCTATACCCGAATCACTAGTAAACGTAACTGGCCTAATCGAATTGTAAGAATTATTAATTCTGTAATTAATCTACGTGTTTTCGCCGGTTATTTTATTTGTGTTTATAAGTCTCGAGATTTTTTTTTATTACATGCAGGGACCTTTCGTCCAATGATTTCACCGGGAAAATTCCTCAACAGCTGTTCTCGATACCGACTTTCAAGTACGATGGCTTAATTCAGTTAATTCAAATGTATCTAATCTTGTCGATTTCAACGTGATTAAGCATAATCTTGTGATTATTTTTTTTTCATCGGGATTTAACGTATCAGCTTTACGGCGACTCATCTGACGTGCGACAACAATTTAAAGCAGCCCTGTATTTCAAGCTCCTCTGTTCCAGGTTTGCTTATAGATTACTAATAATAATAATAATTGCAAAAAATTAACAATAAAAAAAAAAAGAAAGAAACTAAATCAATTGATGTATATTAATGCAGTTTCTAAAAGAAACTCCAAAGTTCAAATTCTTGTTACGATAGCAAGCGTCGGCGCATTCTCTCTCCTCTTGCTCGGTGCATTCTTCGGATACCGATTCCATCGCGTGCATAAACTCAAGCAAGATGTATTCGTCGATGTGGCCGGTAAATTACGAAATGTCATCTCCACTTCCTATTTTTTTTTTTAATTAATTCAACGTTTTCGATTTTAATAAATAATTGCGAATTACTCACAATCGGATTATAGGGGAAGATGAGTGCAAGATTTCGTTTGGACAGATAAGAAGGTTCTCGTTCCGCGAAATGCAGCTATCGACGGATAATTTCAGCGAAAGTAACATAATCGGGCAAGGGGGTTACGGTAAAGTGTACCGAGGGGTGTTGGTGGACAACACTAGAGTTGCGGTTAAACGCCTCATGGACTACCATAGTCCCGGAGGCGAGGCGGCTTTTATGAGGGAGGTTCACTTGATAAGTATCGCGGTCCACAAGAACCTCCTCCGTTTGATCGGATTTTGTACGACCTCGACCGAGAGAATTCTCGTTTATCCGTTCATGCAGAATCTCAGCGTTGCGTATCGCCTTAGAGGTACAATTGTCTATTTTCAAGTAACCATCTAATTAAGTTTATTGCCTTCAGAACCCTGTGTTATATCGAATTGCTAAAAAACTCTCCGTGTTATAAATATTAGCGAAAACCATTAACCTTTTTAGCACACAACCCCTAAAAAGAAATTGCATCATAGGGGGTTTTCGCTAATATTTATAAGACGGGAGTTTTTTTTTTTAACAGTTAGAATAAACGGATGGGCGCTAAATGCAATAAACCCGAAAATAACTAAGGATACATTACTATATATGTGATTTTGTGTGTCTTTCTCTATATTGTTTTTAATTATCCAATATTTGTTTTTCCTGAATTCGGCAGATTTAAAACCGGGAGAGAAAGGGCTCGATTGGCCAACGAGAAAACGGATAGCTTTCGGTACGGCACATGGCCTAGAGTACCTGCACGAGCATTGCGAACCGAAGATCATTCACCGTGATATGAAGGCTGCAAATATTCTTCTCAATGATGAATTTGAAGCTGTTCTTGGAGATTTCGGATTGGCCAAATTAGTTGACGCGAAAGTGACCCACGTGACGACTCAAGTACGTGGAACAATGGGACATATTGCCCCCGAGTATTTGTCTACTGGAAAATCGTCAGAGAAAACGGATGTGTTTGGTTATGGTATAACACTTCTTGAATTAGTTACGGGACAACGTGCAATAGACTTCTCTCGACTCGAAGAAGAGGAGGATGTTCTTCTTCTTGATCATGTAAGTTTCAACTTTGTCTCGTTTTTAGGACTATTTGCGGTTACTCTTAAGCCTCGTTTGGTTGCTGAAATAAAATTAACGAAATATGATATTTGACATCTTATTCGTGACCCAATTTTCCAATTTCTAGGCCGATATGAAAGTTACATTGGACTAACCAAACATCAAATAAATTTCAATTATTTAAACCTGAAAATCCGAAGTTCGAAACCCGAAAATTCGAAACTCGAAACCCGAAACCTGAATTTGAAACCGAAACCGAGGCTTGTTCACCGATTTAATTTAATTTAATTTTTTTCTAATTCTTATGTGATTTTAGATCAAGAAGTTACTGAGGGAGAAGCGGATCGAGGACATATTGGATGGTAATTTGAAAAACTACGAGGGGAAAGAAGTTGAGACGATACTCCAAGTGGCGATGCTTTGCACGCAAAGTTCACCGGAAGATCGACCGAGAATGGCGGAAGTTGTGAGCATGCTTGAGGGAGTTGGTTTGGCTGAGAGGTGGGCAGAGTGGGAGCATCTTGAACAAGTGAGGATTCAAGAATTTTCAATAATGCCACACAAGTTTCTTTGGGGTGAAGATTCTACTCATGATCAAGAAGCTATACAATTGTCACAAGCAAGATAGTCATTTATTTAGTACCAAATTATAAGGTGTAACTAACTAAAAGGGCTGTTTGTTTGAGATTTTAGACACCACTCAATATAATATACATATATATATATATATATATATATATATATATATATATATATATATATATATATATATATATATATATATATATATATATATATGGGGATTAAAATTATGATATATGATAAAGGTTAAAGTTTAGTGAGTGTATTAAATATAATGTAAATTTTTGTCATATTGTATAGTTCATAATTGAGTTTATTTGGATATTATGTAATGTTTTAAATTTAGTTGTTATTATTACTACTAATAGCATAGTATATAGAAGGTGATCATGCGTTATAAGTAGGGCTGAAATGGTTAGGATTGAAATTTGCCTTTTCGGAAAATTTCTAAAAATTTTCGGAAGTACAAAATCAATTCCAATTCCAATTCCAAAATTTTTGATATTTAAAAAGTTATTCCAATTCCAAAAGATCCTGAAATTTCGGAATTTTGGAAAAATTTCGGAAATCACACAAGTTTTAAATTTTCCAAATTAGCGAAAATTTTCTGAAAATTTCATAATTTTTAAAAAATAATAACATCCACGTCGACATGTTATCCATGCTCTCCAAAACTGTGGAGACAATTATCCATGTTCTCCAAAACTGCGGCGGCATGGGGGTGATTTGGAACTCATCTCCTTTACACTTGAAACCTCTTGAGCAGACATGTTTTATGTGGGAGTGGGTTAGTCACATCCACAACAATCTTAATGGAAAAAATTTCTCCCGACTCTTATTATTACTTGGAAAGCATGCATGGGAGTTAAAGAATAGGGCTCTACATGGAGAGGAAGGGATTACGGGGAAAGAATTGGTTCAATGGTGTTGGGCATATCTCTCCGCTTACCAACAAGCACAACTGCCAAAGTTTGCTTCTCCAAGGGTTCAATTTCAGACTTCCTGGACTCCACCCCGGAGGGGGGTCATTAAAGTGAATTTCGATGCTGCCATTCCCGTTGGCAATAACTGTTATTCGATGGCCATGATAGCTAAAGACTGACGAGGGAAATGTTGTAGGTGGGATGTCCGTAAATTTTTGGGGCAGCCTAAGGGGGTAGAATGTGAAGTACATGCTGCTCTTGAAGCTATGACACTGGCTAAATCACATGGTTGGAACTCGATCATTCCAGAGGGGGATTGCTTAAATGTCATCAATGCCTTGATTCTTTCTTCCTCTTCATTTGGAGCATATATTGAGGAGACCTTAACTATTGCTGCATCTTTTAACGACAAATTATAGGCACATGTTCTTGCCCCGAAGTTAAACTTTACTTGTCCGCAAGGAATGGCCTAACGGTTGGAGCAAATGAGCATGTGTCAATTGACCCAAGTTCGAATCTCCTTGCCAATGGTCGTTACGTGAAGCTTGTCACACATGGTTAGCCTAGTGTGGTTTACATCTTTCGTATAGTTTGCAAGCTATTATACGAAAATGTATGTTTACCCGGTGTACCTATATTGTGGCGGTGGGTTCCTTCATTACCAGAAAAAAAAACTTTACTTTCAGTAAAATGACTTCTCTTCCCCATATTTTGGCGATATATGCCCAATAAAAATCGTCATTTTCTCAAAAGCAAAAAAAAAAAAAAAAAAAACAAACTAAATTTCAGTTAAAAAATAGATATGCATAAACCACATGATAATATCCAATAAAACTTTTATCAACAGTTCAATATGTCAATATCCTAAAACAAAACTTAAAATAAGATATTATTTCATTAAAAAAAACCTTAAAATAAGTATTATATAATGTATATTATTTATAGGAGTATTTTTTGAAAAATAATCGAAATTTTTGGAATTAATTTCGGATATTAAATCAAATTGGAAATCAGAAATTCCAAATTTCTCTTATATAATTTAATTCCAATCCAAAAAAATTGAAAATCAAAATTTCGGAAGTCGAAATGAATACAGTTGTTCCAAAATCGGAATTTCTCAGATCGAGACCGGCGAAAATTGGAATTTCCGTTCCAACTTACACCCTTAATTATAAGTGTGAAATTTGTAGAATGTAAAATTCTGCTACAATTTATATATACAAGAAAAATTGGATAAGTGAGTAAGTTCTCGAATTTATATAAGCGAATTGCATATAACTCTAGGGAGACTGTCTTATTTGCACTTTTATCCAGGCTAATCTCAGTCCTACAAAAAAAATTATTCTCTTATCCCTTATCCAAAATGCTCCTCAAAGTATAATTTATATCAATTTCATCCATAATATCTCAACTTAACTTACTGATAAAAAAAAATGTCTCAACTTAATAAGCAAATTGACCTCATATTATAACAAATATATCACATTAACCCCTATTTTCATCTTGAAAAAATATATTATTCCTAAACTTCTTTTTTCCGAGCACTGGCCGACGTTGACTTTTTTTTTTTGATAATTGTTTTAGTTTCACCATATAGCGCACCTATACCAAAACTATTTAAAGATTGATATTCAATTTTGGTACTTAAACTAAACGCGGATGAAGTATTTCTAGTACAACCATATGGCGCACAATAATACTCTAACTATAAATAATTCCATATAATTTCAAAATTTGCACTTTTTTTTCTTTTTTTTTTTCCGGCCAAACGATTTTATTATTCCATTTAAGATAGGCAAGAGGGAGCCTCGTTAAAACCTTGTGGACCTAACACAAGGAAAAAGAGTACCCCTACAATGGAAATAAAAAATCAGTGTCTAAGGTAACTAGACTATTACAAATATGACCCAAAATGGGGTATAAAATGCTAATATTAAAGTATATAATGCGGCTATTCTTAACCACCCCCAACTTTCTTGTACTTCGCCAAAAAGCCCCACAAATGGGGGTCAATTTGTAATTTTTGAAATTCCACCTTCCTAGCCAACATCTTTTTGAATAATGCATGCAGAATCACCCCTACGCTTATTCTATCTTCTCATTCTCTACAACCAATGACTCTTCCAATATCCGAAAATTCCACACCCAACACAGCGTGCTCCTACCCCTCCTCCTTAGATGTAGTTCCGTCTGTCTCATTTACGAAAATTCGCAATACCGTTATATGATAATATATATATGTATATGGTTCTAATTTATGTAACTTACATAACACATTGCAGTTAGTTGCATCATTGACTCATGTTCACATAAAGAGTTATTCGGTGCACATATTTTGTTCTATGTATTTGACATGTTTTGTAGTGTTTGACATTTGTAAATTTCAGTTCTATGTATTCTTACATTTATGTGCCTTTTTTTATTTATTATTATTTGTGATTTTAAATTTAAAATCTTCAATTTTGAAAAGAAAAAAGAAATCAAAATTAAGAAAAAAAACCAGATTAAAAACAAAAAAAATGAAAATGATGAAATCGCAATGGCAATTTTAGTTGTCAAAACAAAAAAGGAAAATGTTGAAAAAAATCCCCTTTCGAAGTGGCGATTTCTGACTCCAGGTGAAATCACCTCTTTCATAGGCAATTATAGGTGTCAGAAACATTCATAAATCGCCTCCCGAAAAGGCGATTTACACTATTTGTGTAAACAAAAAAAGAAATTTCCGTATGCGACTGTAACTAAAAGAGTTGGTACATAATCTCGATCATCAGAGTCAGGTCTATAGTTCTAATTCTATCCCTCCTCCTTTTCCAATTTGTAACAAGTTGAATTTAAAAAGAAAAAAAAAAAAAAAAAAAAAAACATAATATCCCATGAATATATATATAGAGAGATATTTTCAAATAAAAGCGCTAATATTAATAACAAGAATGTAGTTATGAAATATCAAATCTCTCATGTGAAGAAGTCTATTTTATGTTTAATATACCTATAACAAATTACCGTTATTTGAATCAGCATATTTTGTATACTTAAATTTTCTGTTTGATTTTCGCTCCATTTCTTTTTTTGTTTTTCTTTTTTTTTTCAGAAAAAAATCGAGCTTCCTCTGAATTTTCCGTTAGGAATCGAAAACTTCTTCTGTCGATTGCATGCGCATCAAGAGTAGTTCAATACAGTTTTTATTCATCTCCTTTTCTTTAAATTTTCTTGAACCTTTTTTACCCTAACATTGTTTATGGTATTTCTGTAATTCTTCTTTTTTGGGATTTGTTTTGATTTTTTTTTTTCAGTTTTGATCTTCTCTGTTAAAAGTTATACATTTGGAAGCAACAGTAAAAAAAAAAAAAGAAATGAATACCGGCGGTAATTCTTTGCCGTCCGGACCAGACGGGTCGAAACGAAAAGTGTGCTATTTCCACGATCCCGATATCGGAAATTACTATTACGGAATTGGCCACCCGATGAGGCCATACAGAACGGCGATGACTTTCTCTCTCCTCAAAAATTACAATTTACTCCAACACATGCAAGTATTCAAACCCGCCCCGGCTCAAGAAACGGATCTTCGCAGTTTCCATGCCGATGATTACGTCGATTTCTTGAAAAGAGTCACTCCTGAAAATCAAAAGGAGCATTTATTGCAGCTGAAAAGGTTCAATTTGGGAGTGTTTGATTGCCCTGTTTTCGACGGCCTTTACTCCTACTGCCGGAGCTATGCGGGCGGGTCGATTTCCGGAGCAGTTCGGTTGAATAACGGGCTTTCAGATATCGCAGTTAATTGGGCGGGCGGGCTGCACCATGCCAAGAATTGCGGGGCTTCGGGTTTTTGCTATGTGAACGACATTGTGCTGGCGATTCTTGAACTCCTCGCAAATCATCAGGTACGTTATATTATGGTTTTCCCTAATTTTGAGGTTATTATCGAAAAATTTACGCCTATTATTACGAGGGCAGTTAGTGTCGTTGAAAATGTTCGTTCTGTTAAGACTTTTTTTTTTTTTTTTTTATGTTTTCAAGAATCACCTGTTTGGTGATAAGAAGTTAAAGGCAACATTCGATTGGTAAGATTAGCCATGATTAATTAAATAATTGAACCTTATTTGTTGTTTGGTTAGTCCGCTAAAAATAGAGTTGGATTTTCATGAGGTTATTTAATCTTAAAATTCGATTACTTGCAAAATTCAATTTTTACGCAAGACTACAAATTACATTCGATTACTTGCGAAATTTATTTTTTACGTAACACTACTAATTGCATTCGTTTACTTGGGAAATCCGATTTTTACGTAACACTACTAATTGCATTTGATTACTTGGGAAATTCATTTTTTAGGTATAACACTACTAATTGCATTCGATTACTTGCGAAATTCAATTTTTACGTAACACTACTAATTGTATTCGATTACCTGCGAAATTCGATTTTTACGTAACACTACTAATTAATTGCAGCGTGTTTTATACGTCGACATCGACGTTCACCACGGCGACGGTGTGGAGGAGGCATTTTACACAACCGACAGAGTGATGACTGTTTCATTTCATAAATTCGGAAACTATTTTCCCGGCACCGGACATATTCTAGATATTGGATACGGGGAGGGCAAATATTATTCCGTGAATATTCCGTTACACGAGGGAATCGACGACGAGAGCTACCAGTTGCTGTTTAAGCCGATAATGAGTAAAGTAATGGAAGTTTATAGACCCGAAGCAGTTGTGTTGCAATGTGGGGCCGACTCTTTATCGGGAGACCGATTAGGGCGCTTTAATCTTACCGTTAAAGGCCATGCAGAGTGTGTTAAGTATATGAGATCTTTTAATGTGCCTCTTCTTTTGCTCGGTGGCGGTGGTTACACTTTACGTAATGTCGCTCGATGCTGGTGCTATGAGGTATTCAGTAGAACCTCGTTAAATTAATAACCTCGCTTAAATAATAGTTTTTTCTCATCCCAAACCGGCAAAAGCCTACTATATTATTAGTTCGATAATTTAATATTTCGCTAAATTAATAGAATTTTGCTAGTCCCGACTGTATTAATTTATAGAGGTTTAACTATATATATATATATAATTTATATTTGCTCGATTTTTTTTTTCGAATTTGTTTTACGATTTTTTTTTTCGGTTTTCACAGACCGGTGTAGCTGTCGGAGTTGAGATTGATGATAAATTACCAGAAGGTGATAAAAATATTGACTATTTCGGACCGAATTTCAAACTTCACGAGCCTCAACGTATCATGGACAATAAAAATTCTCGTGAAATGATCGATAAACTAAGAGTGAGAATCCTCGATAATCTCTCTAGACTCGAGCATGCTCCTAGTGTACAGTTTCAAGACAGGCCACCGGAAACTCGGTTACCGGAGGTTCGTTATTACGAGAATATTATTTTCTTCATTATTTTTTTTTTGAAATTTATTTCCGTAAAACTCACAAAATTTTAACGAAATTTAGCCCGTCGTAAATCGTTGCCGGAGGAAGATGGCCAAGGCGAAGATGCTATAGATGCTGACATGGACAACAGCAGGTGTGATTTAATTTGAATTTGTTCGCCATTTAAATTAATTAATTAATTATGTAATTCATATTGTTTATAACTTTATATTGATGCAGCAACTCTACTGGGGGTAGCGCAAAGATGGAATATGTGGAATATTCGGAGGGAGAAAGATGCGTGTTTTATTATGATGAATGAGAAATTAAAGATTCTTATTTCCAATAATTTTTGTTAGTAGTTTGCAAATTAATTCATCTACAAAAATGAATTACTATACCAATTGTAACCTTTCTCGTTTGATTGCACCTGTCAACTTGAATAATAACAATTCATAATATAACAGGGGAGTTAGATGTTACGCTTAGCTTATTTACGTTGGTGGGTTTGAACTGTATATTTGATTAAATAATTGGGCTTGTCTACAGTGAGATTTCAGCAATACGATTTATATGAGATACCCCCTCCAAACAGTGACACGTGTCCTAGCAACACAACCTATGTTTTTCTCATTTATGTAGTGTCGTAAATACCATTTGGGCAATTATTATTTTACAAAAATCGGCAATTATAAATTCCTAACGAAATGTCAATTTTACCCTTTATATTTTTTATACAATTTTAATTTATTTATTATTTTTTTTCAAAGCCCATAATATCCTTATACACAAACGTAATAAAAAACTAATCAATATTATTTCCTAATCTCTCTCCAAATTAAATACGTTCTCCATCTACATCTTCGAAATCTGGGCTTACGGTATCACGATCAATTAAGTTCTTCATCATTTTTTTAGATCCATTAATTTATTCTTACTTTGCTACAAATTTGAAGTGGTGCATCGTTACACTATTTCTTCAGAATAAGCTTATTCAAGGATGTCTAATTCCAAAGAATTGGTATGCTACTTGTATTTCAATAATTGGGGTTTTTGTCGAAATCCTTAACATTTTTCTTACTTTAATCCCATATTTTTATTCTAATAAAGATCGAAGGTCTTCAAATTGTGATTCACAAAGGAATCTTGAAAACGAAAACGAAAGTGTTATGAATTTCAATTTACAAGGCAACACCGGCGACATTGACGAGAACGATGATCGTCTACAATAAATGAAATGCATGATGTCATTAACCTTTACTGATACACATGAAGCCGATCAATATTATTTTAGGTATGGTCAGTTAACATGATTTGACGTTCGCAGGCACTCTTTGAAAAAGAAAAACAAAGATTCAAACATCATTATGAATAGGGTTTGGGTTTGCTCTCGAGCTGGGTATCGTGAAACACACATTAAGGATTATGACCGATTGCGCGCACCGAAAGGCGAGATGCGGTGTGGATGCCCTGCCAAATTCCGTATTGCACTTGATCATTCTACCGGAAGATATAGAGTGACTACATTCAATCCCGATCACAGTCACCGCCTTGAAACTCCCGATACGAGTCATATTCTATGTTGCAATAGGTAATCTAATCGTTCCAGTTTTACTTTTATATTGAGATCCATTCGTAATGTTATGATATATTTTTTTTCTGCATCAAACTTGCACCGTAAACTGAATCCACTGTATACTTATATGATTTCATATTGCGTGCAGATTATTGAGCAAAGACACAAAATATGTGTTGGAATTAATGACTGATGTTGGGTTGAAAATCAGTCATTTTATTGATTTTTTAGATAAAGCATGTGCAGGGAGTGAAACACGACTATTTAATCGGAAGGACGCTACAACTACCTAAATGGGGAAAGGTTAAAAATGATTGAAGGAGAAGATGCGAACACTACTTAACGGCATGAATGTAGAAGATAAATTAATTACGTACCTGCATAGTGTCGACGCAAACAATGCACTTACAAGAATTTTTTAGTGTGACGGGATTTTGAGAGCCGAGTATGAATAGTTTGGTGATATTATTCTATTTGATAGCACCTACAAGACCAACATGTATAGGTTTCATGTAGTGTTGTTATCTGGAGTCAACTCTCATTTGTGCACATATATTTTCGGAGTTGCTATTATGAACGAGGAGACGACTCAACAATACACCTAATTGCTACAAACGTTTCAAAAATTCATGAAAGGAAAAGCACCCCTAGCTGTTTTGACGGACCAGGACGCAACAATGTGCGCAGCCATTAGGGATGTGTTTCCTGAAGCAACTCATCGTCTTTGTTGCTGGCATATTTCACGTAATGCCGAAATAAATATAAAAATTCCAGGATGCTCAGCATGTTTTTCCAAGCTAATGAAAAGTACATGATCTATGGCCCAATTTGAAGCTAATGGTCTACATTGATTGCTAAATTTGGTGTTGTCGATCATCCATGAATACATGACATATACTCAAAACGTCATTTATGGGCAGAAGCATTTTTTCGAGGCAAGTTCTTTTCAATGATGTGGAGCACGCAACGTGCAAAGTCAATGAATGCTTCACTGAAACAGAAAGTGCGTTCTGGTTTTAGCCTTACAGATTTGTTTAGGCAGTACAACAATAGTTTCTGAAAAAGCATTCGAAAGAGATTTCACGTACTGCAGAAGAAATCTGAGAATCCACTAAGAGAAGTTAAGCGTACATGCTTATTTATTGGTCTTGAGAACCATGCCGGTCGCATATACTAGAGCCATATTCGATTATATACAAAGGAGCTGAAGGAGGAGGCAAACATAATTATACTCAACAAGAGTGTACATGTTAATCGGCGGCACAAATTCATTTTTGAAGACCATAGCAAGGCAACGCCTCGTACATTTACTACCGTAATCGATTTGAACAACGAAGAATTCCAATGCGAATGTAAGAAGCTCGAATCTGATGGCATCCCTTGTCGCCATTTGATATGTGGTTTTAAGAATTTGACACTTACTAAATTTCCTACTAAGAGTATCCATCCTCGGTAGTTTGTTGACGTTGGCAAGAACCTCACATCTCGTTTCTCATACTTGGATGCTAAAATAAAAATTGACGGCAAAGTATTGAAGAAGGCTTTGGTTGATGATACTGGTGGCGATGATGATAATGAAGAAACTGGTGATGATGATGAGGAACCAATTCAAAATGTCAAACACGTCCCAAATGTCGGTGATACCGCTAAAATTGTTCCTAAGGGCGGATCCAGAGCAAAGAAGTATTCATGCGAATTATGCAGGTTGGTGTATTTTTTATTTTTTTGTCAGTATTAGTTAAATTTCATATCTTATATTTGTTACTAATTTAGTTGTGCGAATGTTGAAGAAAACCTGGAAACAAGACCACAACTTGTGAGCAAAACTCAGCTTCTCGTGCAAGGGCTAATACCAAACCTTTAGTAAGTATGACCCATTAGAAAATGATGGTTATGGTAACGCGGTCACCGATGACTCCCATGTCCAACGTTCGTCGAGCACATCGCAATTTGTCACACCGGACTATGTTGGATCACATACTTAAAATATTCAACGTCATCAATTTCAAAATTCTACAGGTGAAATCCATTATAGGTTTGTAATGATATTTATTATTCAATATGTAGCACAGATTTGTTAATATTGTCATATTAATTTTCATTCGTATACATTGCATGAAGGAACCAGTCATTCGACGTCTCAGTTAAACTCATCATATTTGGGTAATTAACGTCACATGAGGCAACAAATGTAATTACATGAATCCAAACAAAACTGGAATACATTTTAAACTGAACCCAAACTAATCACGACTAGTTTGTACATGCATATTCAATAATAACATACATACGATACAAAAATAAATCACAAGATCGAAACAAAATTGTTAAGATTCAAAATCCTCATAAAATTGAACACAGTAAATCAGATGATTAACTTATACCTGCAAATCCAATAATAACATACATAATGCAAAAAATCTAATAACAAGAATCAAAACAAAATTGAATTTTGGAATCTTCTCCATGGGGTTGAAGATAATGAGCTGCAAGATCGAGGAAGAACGGTTCACTGTATTTCTTGGGAAGTTTTTTAACGGAAACCAAGAAAGGGGCTCAAATCTTGTGTTTCGAATCTAAATCTGATGAATCGATAAATTGCAAAGAGGAGAATCCAGATCTGATGAATCGATCAAAATCTAGAGAGAAAAATAAATAAGAGCAGATTCACGAGGTAAACAACATGAAACAGAGTCCAAATTCTGAATCGAGTGCTTGACGAATCAGGGCGGGAAAAGAGGCCAAGAAACTACAGAGGGACATTTGTTGAAGCTTGTCAAACACCGAGCAAGTTACTTCAACTTTAAGTTGGCAAAATAGTGGAGAACGAAAGTTATAATTAAGGTGAAGTGGTTCTGAATCATGCCAAAGCCAAAATCACACGAGTCTCGAGATCGTATCTACCCTTCAAAATGGTTATTTTGGAAGCTTGGTTTTCTCTATACGATTTGGCTAAGCTCGATGCTCTGCTCCGATTTCTAAAAGCTGACTTCCTCGGAACCTGGATTCAACCCCGTCTCAGTGCTCGTCGATCCATGTCCGCCGACTTAAGTCTCGTTGATCCCGTCGGCCAAGCAAAGTCTCGCCTACCCATGTCTCGCTGACGTCGACCTCGTCTGTCGAGATCGAATCTCGAAAAACCACCACATGTGAAAAGATTGAGATCGAGAAGAATCGGGAAGAGAAGGGGAAAATTTCGAAGTACCCTTGTCCCCTCGAATGATTTTTCCCAAATCTATAGACCCACCCGCAAGTTGTTTGATATAAGGCCACAAAGAGCACACTCCGTGCTGAACAGTGCACTTCGCATTTCGCCCATCGAACTGCAGTTGCACCAGAGATTTTATGACCTGGTCAGCTTCCAAAGCTCGAATCGAGCTCCGTGTTTATCTTGAAGTTGTTGGAAAGAGGAGCTCGTGATTTTTTATGCCTATTGAAAACGCGCATATGTATATGAACTACGGCTAAAGCTTTAGCATGACGGTTCTCTTTCAAAGCAACGAATTGTGTAGAAATCAATATCAAGGGGGTTCTCTTCGCCCGGGTTCTAGCAGCTCGCACCTGTGTTATGGGTTGGAACCTCCAAGAGCCGGATATTTGTAAAAAAAAAAAAAAAAAGGGAGAACAAACGAAAAGGGAGGAGTATGCCGACCCATGTCGCATTTGTGGCAGGATCATGAGCACCACGAGTTCTTAGTTTTGTTGACAGTGGATTTTCAGTTTTATGAAGCAATTCTAAACGATTGGTGAAGAATGCTAGATACCGACAATTTGTGGTTGGCCAGACCGAAGTGAAAGATGGAAGTCATGATGGTGCACATAAATTGTTTGATCGAAGCTCCAGGAGAACAACAGGCTTTTGCTAGCACATTCTATGAAAGCATAACCGCGGCTTCGTTTTATAAGTCATATCTTGGTCAGACCGTACGCAACAGGTGACCCTGCGGGATAGAATCAAACCGAAGTTTGCTGAAAAGAGTGAAATAAAGACAGAGCTCATTGTACTGTGAGAAGCCGGGACGAGCTATTACCGAGTATAATCTTTTACTGAGAGATGGGAATATAATCTTTTACTGAGAGATGGGAATAACAACACATTAGCATTTGAAAAAAAAAAAAAAAAAAAAAAAAAAAAAAAACTATCGACGAGGTATGATATTAAAAATCAAATTGGGTGGCAAGAGGAAATCGAAATGATTCTTGAATGAGGCTTCTCCCCAATTATCGAGACGGTGAGGAAATCTAATCTCCGAAAAAGATGTTTGGGCAAAGGTCGTTCTGGCCCGTGAAAACTTATTACAAGTGGGAAACATTACAGTAATACTTGTGGAAACATGAGATAAGCTTATATTGGAGCTCGATCTTGCATGAGTTCGATGCGGTTCAGTACGAGACGAGACGGGACGACTCAACCACGGCATAAAGACACTAAACAATTGGATCAATGATTTAATTTTCATAGGACGGCGTTCAACAGTTTATGAAAAGAGGTGTGGAATAATAATTTTCCCGGGATCTTGTGTCGCTTGTTAGTTCGGAGCTTACAAGCACAAAATTGTCAATTGAAATTGACTCGCACGGTGTTCCACAGGAAAATTCCCTTGCACATTGAAAAGTCACCCAACGAAGATATAACTCGGAGGGGTGGTAGATTATCGATATATGCCCAGAAAAAATGCAAGTTACATCTCCTCCAGACCCGAGAGCAACTTCAGCCCATTTTTGTCAACGCGAAATCTATAATGGGATTGATAGAAAATAAGAAGAATTTAAGAGTTTCGTTACCACGAGATAAATATTTCGAAGTTGCGAGCTCAATGATGGGACAAACCTCTCCAAGAGCTCGTGATTCTTGGGGCTCGTGTTTATTGCTTGGAGGACCAATATATTACGTACAAATGTCTTGTCGAGGAACCCACATTTACAGAGCCAATCTCCTTGAGCAACTTATGGTTGTTAAAAATTCTCCAAGATTTGAATTTATCAGAGTTCACCCTTCTTGAAGCTCGAATTCGCCTCGTACATCTCAAACTCCGGGAAATATTTCTTAAAGCTCTTAAAAGGCCAGAGTTATATCTCGAACACAAAAGTGAGTAGTCAACGATCTCGTTTGCCGCTGAGCCCGTTTCTTATCTCGAAGTGGAATTCTTTAAGGCTTGTAGCTCTCTTCGACCTCGCACTGGTCATATGAACCTCGCTCGCCATCTCGAGCATAAAGTTACGAAGAAAGATAACAATGTCTGGTAAAGCTTTGTAAAATCGAGGGAGAGATGAATGAGGCACAAGAAAAATCGGGAAGAGCTGAAATCGAAGACCAAGCTTTGAAGGAAGCTCTGATTCGATTAGAGGTTGAAAAGAATGCTGGACTGGTCAAACAGAAAGAGTATTTGGAGAGGATATCTGATCTCGAGGCTATGGTTTCGAAATTCCAAGAAGATACGAGGAGGCTCGACGAAAAAGCGTTTGAAGCAGAAAGTGAATCTCGAACCCTAAAAGATAAAATGTCGGGATTAGAGCTCGAAAAGGGGACGGTGATGCAACAGTACAAACAGTGCCCCGAAAAAATATCGGAGTTGGAGAACAAAATCTCTATAATCGAAAATGAGGCCAGCCTTCTTAAGAAACGAGCCAAGAGAGCTGAAGCTGAAGTTTCTGAACTGAAAAGGGCGTTCGCTGATCTGAACGAGGAGAAAGAAGCTTCGGCCCTACAGTACAAGTGCTGCCTGGAAATTATATCCAAGCTTGAGAACGATATATCAAGCTTGAATGATAAAGTCTCGATTGGAAATACGAAGCTCAAGACTACCGAAGAGAAGTGTGCTCTGTTCGAGAAGTCGAATCAATTACTGCGAGCCGAAGCGGATAATCTTGTGAAAAAGATTGCTGCGAAAGATCAAGAACCCTCAATAAAGCAGGGCGAATTGGAGAGTCTTGAAGTGCGTTTAAAAGACGGGCATTTACGTCACGAAAAAGTCGAAGCCACTCTCGAGACTCTGCAAAATTCGCACTCTAAATCTCGAGATGATCAAATGGCTCTGACGCTTGAGCTCAAAAATGTAGTTCAAAAGCTGGAAGAAACTGAAGCTAGCAAAAATGGCTTGGAAGAAGAGATTCGAAAGGGTTAGAGATGAAAACGATAGTTTGAGCCAAACGAACTCTTCTATGGAGAGTATGCAGAATGAAACCTTTAGTTTGAGGGAGATTAAGGAAATGCTCGAAAAGGAAAATTTCGCACCACATTGGGATAACTATTTCTCTTCAAAGGGAAATTTCGAATTTGAAAGAAGAAATCGAAGGGTGGAATAGGCACTATCGGGATCTAGTGGAGCAAGTGGAAGAAGCAGGTCTCGACCCCACGTATGTGTTGATTTCGATTACGTGCTTGCACGAGGAGAATTCGAAGCTGAGGCAACTATGCGAAAACGGCAGAAATGAGAAAGCAATCATGTCGCAGAAGCTAGAGAATATTGAAGACGCATTGTTGGAATCGGGCCAATCTATTTACGGAGAAAAAAAAAAAAACTGCTCTAGTCGCTGTGAAAGCTTCAATTGTGTCTCAATTGCAAGCCATGACCGAGAATATGCAGAGTTTGGTGGGAAGAAACGCCGTTTTGGAGAATTCACTATCCACCGCCAAAATCGAGCTCGAAGGTTTGAGGAAAAAATCGAAAGGGTTAGAAGAGATTCGCGAATTGCTCAAGAACGAAAGATCGTGTCTTTTGACCGAAAGGGGCAGTTTAGTTTCGAAGTTGGAAAATGTGGAGAGAAGGCTGCAGATTTTGGAGGAAAAAATTATGGGGTTGGAAGAAAAATACACTGATTTAGAGAAAGAGAAAGAAGCCATGCACGATCAAGTCGAAAAGTTCAAGGTTTCGTTGGACGAGGAAAATCAAGAACGGACAAGCTCTCGGACTTTGAGCAAAGCCCGATTGACCGGGCTCGAAAATCAAATCAATCTCCTTAAAGAAGAGAACACGTGTAAGAAAAAGGAAACAGAGCAAGAACCCGATAAAGCTTTGAAAGCGCAGTTCGAAATATCCATCTTGCATAAATTTATAAAAGATATGGAAGAGAAGAACTACTCTCTCATTATTGAGTGTCAAAAGCACGTCGAGGCATCGAAATTGGCGGAGAAATTGACATCCGAACTGGAGGGTGAAAGTCTTGAGCAGCAAGTTGAATCTGAGCTCCTATTGGATGAAATCGAGAGGCTGAGATTGGGAATATATCAAATTTTTAGGGGATTGGGAATTGCTCCTGAGGAAAAGGTTGTCGAAAACGAACAAACTTTCTTGCATTGCATTCTTGAAAGTATTGAAGATACGAAATGTTCTCTTTCGGAATACGAGGATGAAAAGCAAGAGCTCTTGGTTAAAAACTCGGTTCTTTTAACTCTTCTTGAATAGTTGGAGTCAAAAGGCGTCGAAATCGAGACGCAGAAAATACACTTGGAGCAAGAGTCAAAACTCATGGCTGAGAAGCTTAGTGCTGTCGAACACACACACAAAAAAAAAAAAAAAAAAAAAAAAATGAATTTGTGAAAATAAATGGGAAATTGAAGCCGGATATGAGTAAAGGTCGTGAAGAAGCTGTTGTACTCGAGGCTGAATTCGGGAGTCTTTGCGTCAAACAAGCTGATTTGCAGAAGACGTATAATGCATTACAGGCAGTTTACTCGAAAGTGAATCAAGAAAATACGTATTTGTTGAAGAAGTTTTCGGATCCGAAAGATGAGAAATACGAGTCAGATCGGTATAACGAGGATGCAATTCTTGAATTTTTATCATCTGCTAATGTATCTGAAGTCTTGAGAAGTTCCAGGAGAGAGATCGAAGAAGTGAAATTACTCCTCGCAGATCTGAACCGACAAAATGAGGTCAATATTAGCCTCGAAAAGGAAACGAGTGTATTGATTGGAAAGCCTGAGTTGCAAAAGGCGGAAAATTTAGCCCTGAAAGATGTCGTTCTTAGCTTGGAAATCGAGATAATCATCTTACGCAGTACTGCTCGACTGTTGGAGGAAAGTAGTGATTCCATGCTTGTAAAGAATTAGAAACTTCTACATGAATCGTTTTCGTCGGAAATGAAGATTTTGCAGTTGGAGAAGAAAAGTTCCGAGCAACAACTTGAGCTCAATTCTTTGTCAGATCAAACTAGTTATCTGAGGGCAAGAATTTTTCGATTATTGAAAGTTTTGGGCTTCTACGACGATTCTTCGTACGAAGATAATGCTACAAAGGACCAGGTTTATTTCAAACAGCTGTTGACTAAACTTCAAAGCATGAAAAATTCAATTCGCGAAGCCGAGGAAGAAAATCCCGAGCCAGATTACGCCGTCTCGAACGTTACCATCTCGGTGTTCTCTAATCGAATCTCGCCGACGTAATGCCCGTCGAGGTAAGTCTCTCAATCACCTTTCTTGAAGGTATTACATTGTGGCGTTAAATCGCGTGTTTCATTGTGGCGTTAAATCGCGGGTTACATTGTGGCGTTAAATCGCGTGTTTCATTGTGGCGTTAAATCGCGGGTTACATTGTGGCGTTAAATCGCGTGTTTCATTGTGGCGTTAAATCGCGTGTTTCATTGTTGCGTTAAATCGCGTGTTACATCGTGGCGTTAAATCGCGGGTTACATTGTGGCGTTAAATCGCGGGTTACATTGTGGCGTTAAATCGCGGGTTACATTGTGGCGTTAAATCGCGTGTTTCATTGTGGCGTTAAATCGCGTGTTACATTGTGGCGTTAAATCGCGGGTTACATTGTGGCGTTAAATCGCGTGTTACATTGTGGCGTTAAATCGCGTGTTTCATTGTGGCGTTAAATCGCGGGTTTCATTGTGGCGTTAAATCGCGGGTTACATTGTGGCGTTAAATCGCGGGTTACATTGTGGCGTTAAATCGCGTGTTTCATTGTGGCGTTAAATCGCGTGTTTCATTGTGGCGTTAAATCGCGTGTTACATCGTGGCGTTAAATCGCGTGTTTCATTGTGGCGTTAAATCGCGTGTTACATTGTGGCGTTAAATCGCGGGTTACATTGTGGCGTTAAATCGCGTGTTTCATTGTGGCGTTAAATCGCGTAAAAAATGAGGCGTTAAATCGCGTTGAAATATGAGGCGTTAAATCGCGTATTACACTGAGGCGTTAAATCGCGTAAAAAATGAGGCGTTAAATCGCGTTGAAATATGAGGCGTTAAATCGCGTTGAAAAATGAGGCGTTAAATCGCGCAAAAACGAGGCATTAAATCGCACAAAATGAGTTGTTGAATCGAAACAAAAATGAGTTGTTATAATAGGCAAGAATAGCCTATCAAATCGAGTATGTAAATCGCTAGAGACATTCAAGCCAATACGGCGAGATAAACGCATGAGTCATACAACTAGAGAAAAAATGATGTAAGATGTAAGGTGAAAAGACAACACGTGAATAATACTCCTAGTCTAATCACGACTTCTAGACTTCGGAGTAGGGGGGAGTAGTTGATACGGGCCAACTTGGCAATACCAAATAAACGTAGGCCCATTATGATCAGCCCATAATGAGGAGCCCATGATGAGGAGCCCAGGGCAATACAGGCCCAAACACGTAACTTGAAGAGGGAGCAAACCCTAAAAAAGGAAACCTTGGAGGCCAAGGTTTCCTCATCTATAAATAGAAGGATCATCAAACACACGCACACACAAAAAATACACCACTTTACTGTTACATTGCATACATTTATTCCTCTATTCCGATCACTGACTTGATCGTCGGAGCTCTCCCGCCGGGAACCCCTCCCGGCGTTGCAGGTACCATCATCGGAGTAAGCACGGAAGGTGACTCGAGGAAGACGAAGCCCCACGGACCAAATCATTCAGATTCACATATGATCCTCAAATTGAACCCAAAGTAAATCAGACGATTTACTTGTACCTGCAAATCCAATAACAACATACATAATGCAAAAAATCTAATAACAAGAATCAAAACAAAATTGTTCAGATTCAAATATGATCCTCAAACAAAAATAAAAACATCTAAGATACATATTGAGTATCCTACCCAATTATGCAGCCAACATCAAAATATCCAAAATAAAAAAATAAAACATAAAATATTGTTTGAAGTTTAAAACATTGTTAAAAAACAAACCACCAACAAAAGCCTGTTTTTTTTCATGGAGAATCATGGAGAGGCAGAGGGTGGTCCGGGACATAGGGTTGCACCAGGGGCGGAGAGGGTCTGGATTTGGACTTCTATAACAGCGACTTCATCACGCTTCGCATCCAGCTATCGCGGCAAGATTGCACGGAATGCAGTCTCCGGACTCGGAATCACGATGGGCTTAGCAGGAACCGTATTACAAGTTGCAACCTTGCTCACAATGTATTTCTACTTACAAAGCAAAGACAATATTAGAATTGGAAATATTAAAACATCAGAAAAACGCTCCGCCTCTTTCAATATCTGGCGAAAAATAAATTCGCCAATATTGATTTCAACTCCGCTTCCGACAACATATAGGAAATCAGCTTGATCCACTGACACAAGATCGGAAGTCAATGTCGGGAACCAGTTCGAACATCCTATCTCATGCAATATGGCGTATACCTTCGTGAGATAAGTACGCTTCAGACCAACCACATGCCATTGCTTGATGTTTCCTCCAGTCATCTCATTTGTCAAATTCTCGTGAGATACTCCCGATCTCAACGCGCCCTTATCATGCGTGCCAAGTATCTTATTCAGCAACTTAGGGGTGAACTCGTACACTTGTCCACGAACATAAACTTGCCCAGAACGGCAAGATAACTTGTCCCCAACAGTCCTCTCCAGATTGACATAGAACTCACGAACAAGGTTCATCTCAAACCTAAATCTGGTCGGATTTTTCGCCATCATGACAGTACCCAATAAGCGCATATCCTTTAACAGTTGTTTCACACCCCAATCTGTGAAAGTCTCATCATCTATCGGCCTTTCGATAAAAAAATTCACAACGGCCAAGTCTCCCCCGAAAACCTTTGCCCTCGGACTGAAATAGATAAAACTCAGCAGCCACGTCTGTGTTGTAAGGGAAATCATCGAACATTATTTCAATGTCAGAATTTGAATCAGCCTTTTCTTTGTCGTAGTCGGAATCATACGTCGTCTTGTCGAGATTCAGAATCTGAATCTGAATCACGTTTTCCAGTCATTTTTTTAATGTGGAGATTAAAGATTTGACAGTGGATATGAACGTCTGAATTTGGGTAGAACCAAGATTAAAAGTGGGAGAGGAAGACGGTGAGATAGAGATTTATAAAATACAACTATGGTTAATGAGTGGGATTTTTATTTGGAGGAGGAAAGACTAGGGTTAGGGTTAGAATATGCTGTAAAATGGGCGGTTGAAGAAGATTGAGAGACGTAATTGATAAGATTTGCAAGATTATTTAGAGATTAAAATATTTGTGTAGATTTACCGCCGATTTACCCAAAATTATAATTATTACAGCTTTTCGAATGCCCTCATATTATGTTTTCAGTTCACATTTCCTTATTTTAAAAGTATTTTTAAACACTAATAATAATAACAATCGAATAATTCAAATTCAAATATATAATTCACTTTGAGTAAAGACAAAAAAAATATTGCGATTTAAATAATAAAAATCAACAAATATTCAAAATAAAATAACTGAATTTGCAATATATTTGTATAAATACTAACATTAATTACAAATAATGTCAATATTCATATGCTAATACTAATTTCAATTATTATAATTGATTAATAGAAGTAATATAATGCATTCGTGATGAAATAATAATTAATTTTAGAATTAATAGCAGTGGATGGTACCTTAGTTAACTAAGAAATAGATATAAAATATATTATATGGCATATATTCAGAAAGAATAAAAAAAATTTGTACACAAAATATATTTCCTATTTTAAATTGCTAACATCAATCTTATCGAAAATTGAAAGTGGAGAAATATTTATGGACATTCTCCCTGCCGTTTATATCCACGTTCAGGTGTAAACAATTATGCCAACTATTTTCTGACTTTTATCTGGAGAATAGCCAACAATAATTTCCATTAAATGAATAACAGATCCAGACCCTAAAAATAATAATACTTTGGAATAAGCATGAGTAATCGAATGAAATACAGCACTTCGATAAGACCCCATTCCTAGAGCTAATATCATATAACCCAATTGAGACATTGTCGAATAAGCTAAACCCCTCTTAATGTCTTTTTGAGCAAGAGCTAAAGTAGCTCCTAATAATTATGCCTATCAACGAGATTAATTTCATTATATGAGGTATAACTATGAAAAGATGAAGAAGGCGAGCTACAAGAAAAATTCCAGTTATATTCCTAGATTCTTCGTGATTCTTTGTTACATGTATCTCGAGATTCACGGCACCTTTCCACC